GCATGGAGCATATACCATGTATTTCCACTGTTTCCTACTCTGTGGAAAAGAGGGGAATGTTCTAGGCCATATGAATTGCTTGGGTGACCCACTGTTTAGTGAGTGCCTCACTTACTGCTGTCTTGATTCTCTTCTCTATGAAACACACATCCTTATTTTTCATAGGACCATTACAAGCATCAAGAGATAATATAAACTACAGCATCATAAACATCATAGGGAGATCTTCAGTTATAAGGTCTTGGTATCTGATGCCCTGGATCCAATTTTAATAGTAATATGTGTAAAAGCATTTAACAAAGAAATTCTAGCTAGTTTCTCTAAAATCCATAATAATGAAAATAATCTTAGAATCCAGTGATTTTATTTATTTTTATACCACAGAAAGCTACACTTCTCACTAATAATAATGTTGTAAGAACTGGACATGTATAAACTGTTCCTTCTGAATATGGATGTCTGAGGAAAGCGAGTCTTTTCTTAGTTGTTGATTTCCTTTCTGCACAACCACAAAACACAGGAAGTCAAAGGCTAAGCTTGAGGGGATTATATTTTATTTTAAAATATGTTAAAATAAATCTGTCATAAGAAATACTCTGTGTTTCTGCTTGTATGAGATAGAAATCAAAGCATTCCTTCTCATTTGGTCTAGGCCCAGACTGGTTTTTTAGGAAATGGACAAAGTCAATAGATTTTAAATGTGGTACTTTCCTGCAAGTCTATTAGAGATTTATAAAACAACAGATTTGGAAATACTACGCCAGATTTATGGAATAAGAATATTCTTGGAAAAACAGATACTTATGGCCTTAATAGGTTGCCTCAGTAATTCTAAAGCTACCTGCTTGTCACTGGCCAGTGGGAACCACAGATACAGCTCAGGGATTTTCAAACTTTGATGTGTATATGATCTTGCAATGCCTAGTTAAAAGCAAGTTCTGTTTCACTAGGTCCTGGATGGAGTCTGAGATATTCCCTCTGTAACAAATTCCCATTTGAGATTCACTGTTGCTAGTCTATGGACGACCTTTTGAGTAGTGAGGATCTCAATGACATAGAAAAGGAAGGTATGAATAAAAGCCTCCCATGGTGAAGTGTTTGTAAGTATTTCACTGACGAAAAAATCTGGCAAAGTAAGTACATTGGAAGGAAGAATCTCAAAGTATCTCAGTTCTATTCTTAAATAGAACTGAATATTCTAAAATGAAGGAAGACCAAGGACAGCCAGAGATCATCAGAATGATTTCTATTTTTTCAGTGTTATTTTTCAACATCTAATGGTAAAAACTATGCAATGACATCACTTCAGAATTCATATGCATAAAACAAAGATGCTACACACACTGTGACTCTCAGAGTGCTGGAAATATCTGCTTTTCAAAATGGATTAATTGCTGCTCATTTCTGTGATACCCTAAGGTGGTATGACACTGCACAGTGTTTGAAATCGAACATGCAGCATCCCTTACAATGGATTTCATAGCATTACTGAGTACCCCACTGATATGATAAAGGGCTGACTCCTTTCCCTTCCTCTGCATGATCTGCTACAATTGAAACTGATGCCATATGCTGGGTCTAAAGTGCTCAGTGTGACCAGGAGCTTGTGGTGATTCTGCCAGCTTTTAGGTGATATACAGCTTAGAAAAGCAATGAGAATCGCTGCTGTACAGTTTGCATTGGATGCTTTTGAGTAATTGGAGTGGATTTCATCAGATGATCATTGGCTCCACTGCCCAAAACTGATGGATGTCTGAGAGGCTCTCCTACAACCTTGAAGATCTTCTTTGTTGTTTCCTGAAAATTTTCTTGCTGCACTTGACTTGCTTATGGCGTTACTGTGCACATGGTTTCTAATGGAGCCCATAATGAGAATATTTATTTCCTTGTCTTTCACCATCAAGACTGTCAGGAATGTCAGCACAGCTCAAGGAACCAGATTTCAGAGCTACTGACTGCTGCCAGCGGAGACAAGCATATTTCATGTCTATGGAAATTTTTGATAAATTTCTCTGTGGGGAGGGAAAAGAAGCAGCACAGCCTGACTTCACGTGTTCTACCTTTCCTAAAGCTATCATTATGCTTGGGGAGTGGTACTTTTTAAATGTACCTCCAGGATTCAGTTTTAGAGTTGCTGCCATGTTACTAAAGCTTAATGCTGTGAAGATAGCCTGCGAGAAAAATTAGCAAAATCTTCAATTTTTATTTCGATCAGATTGTGTATTTGGAAGAGAAGTGTTAGTCTGAGTGAATTTCACCTGAATCAAAATATATTTCCATGGTTAAGTGGCTTCCTTATATAAAGTACAGGGCTTCAATAATGCAGGTGATATACTTGATAAACAAGATCACTAGCCTTTACTGAGCTGTTATTATGTAATGACCAAACTAAAAGGCATCTGACAGATTTCTCTTACTCTCCTTACGCTCTGCTTCACTATACGTAAAGATATTTGTCCAATTTCAGATGATGATATGAAAAGGGCCAGGACCAAAAGTCTTATCTTGACTCCAAATTTAGTGCTTTTCCCAAGCACAATACCAGAAAGCAAGGTTGAATTCTGCCCTAGTTTTCAAAAGTCAAAAAATTTAACAATCCCAAGTCTTTCATCCAGACTTGAGGGTTCATGTGCAGTGTGCTCAGCGTACAGGCCTTTTAGTTATTTTGCTATTATTCTCTGCTCGGAATGCTAGGTGCCGCATTAGATGAATCTGGGAAAGTTACAACTTTTGAATATAGGACAAAAAGAAAAGGATATTTTTTAGATATCAAGTTTAAATTTTGTTTTTTCAATTATATATAAAGCCAAATAGAAAACTAAGGCAGCAATGATACAACATATCAAAGTGGACATCAACCTTAATTACTAAGACTAGAGTTTATTAGCTTTGCCATGGTAAACTTTTGTGGAATCCTAAGTATCACAATGTATTACACCTCCACACTACTCCACAAGACAGACTCTGCAGACTGCCTACACAACATGTCTCCACATCCTCCCTTATTAACAAATTATGGTATTATTCAGGGCACAAACCATCTGCATAAAATATTTGATTTTCTAGTTTCCTTTGCAACTTGAGGTAATCAAGAAAATGTGGGTAAAGCACTCAGAAAAACTAAACTTCCCACAACGAAGGTAAAGTGAAATGGAGAAAAATATTTATTATGTTTTGTCCTTGTTTCCTTCAGTTGCTTTGAGTTTGGAATGCAGACTTCATAATGCAGCCATTCCACACACTATGGGCATTAGGGGACAGAGGAAGAGCTTGAGTCCTCTTATACCCCCTGAAGAAGCTGTGTACGGGTGCGGCTGTAGCTCAGTGGTAGAACACTGGCCTAGTATGCACCAGGCCCTGCATTCCATCCTCAGAACTAAGAAAAAAAGACAAAAGCCAAACCCAAAACCTGTGCTGACTTTGACAGAATATATTTGATAAGCCTGCATAGGAAAAAAACAAACTCAAATCCACTTAAGTCAGTTTTTGCTGGGTTTTTTGTTATTTGCAGTCAAATGTATCCCTAACTCATCCAGCCAGTGTGAATTTTCATAAACTGATTTTGATTCTTGGTGTGATAATGTGTTACTGTGATTAATAAGAAATATATATTTGGGGGCTGGGGGTGCAACCTAGTCATAAAGTATGTGCCTTGGATGAATAAATCCCTGAGTTTAATCCTTAGCACCTCAAGAAACAAAACAAAACCCCAAAGAAATACATATTTGATTTTCTTTCTAAGTTCCAGGCACAGAGCTCCTAAAGCCTTTGTAATTTCCTGACCGATAAGGTGATAGGAATGTCTTTTGTTACTCACAATAACCATACCTGAGTTTATGCAAATGAGTTAACTCTGTTGAGGCTCCAGATAGGTTCAGGATAGGGGCTGGTTGCCAGAGGAACCAATCACATAATGAGAGTTAGAACTTTTAGAGTTCCTCCTGCACCCACACTGCACCTCTGGAGAGGGGAAAAGGGCTGCAGATAGAGCTCAATCACCAATGGCCAATGATTCAATCAATGATGTTACATAAACTAAATGCCGTAAAAACTATATTTCAGGGTTTAGAGATCTCCTGCATAATGAACACATCCATGTGATAAGAGGGTACATGCCCCAACCCCACAGGGACAGAAGTTCCTGTGCTTAGAACCCTTCTGGACCTTACTCTTTGTACTGGTCAGCTTTCTGGTCACTGACACAGTACCCGACACTCCCAAGTATAAGGAAAGAGGTTTAATTTGGTTCATGGTTTCAGAACGTGGGTGGATAGCTCCAGGCAGCAACCACATGGTGGAAGGCCATAGTGGGGCAAAGCTGCTTAGTTCATGGTGGTATGCAGTCAAATTCATTATAATATTGTTTAAATATATAAACAGCAAGTGAACTGTTTTTTCTTCGTCCTTTGAGCCAGTCTAGCAAATTACTGAACCCAAGATTGGTCAGATGCATGGGAGGCCAGGGAACTGCCAGCAGCACTGGAGGTGACAGCTGTCTTGTGGAACCGAGCGTTTATTCTTTTCTGGGTAGTTAGTGTCAGAATGGAGATGAATCACTTGACATCTAGTTGGTGTCCACAGTGTTTGAGAATTGGCTGTTGGTGTGGGAAAATGTTTGGTATTAGAGGTATAGTGAGTAGAAACTGTTCATACAGTCCGTCCCAGATGAATAATGAGATAAAATGAAGCAGGGTCATTTTCTTAACCCAATCAAGTTTTAACAAGGATGGGCAGTTTTAGCTACACTGTTTCATCCAGCAACAGGATTCTGATTTTCACTGACCAGGGTGTCTTTCCCTCTGAGCTGGCCAGACATTCGCATGATCTGATATTTTCCCATCCTAATTATGGAAGGATTTCACAGCAGCTCTTCCTCTATGTGGAGGGACTCTGAGCATCTCTATAAATGACACTGTCCCCTCAGCCAATGCCAAGTGGGAGAGCATTCAGCAAGCAAAACAGCAGCTAGTGCAGTGTGCACAGCAGTACGTTTACAGTACCTCCAGAGTGGGGTGGTGGGCCGCAGAGGAGTACCATTCCCTGACCTCGACGGACAGACACGGTGCTTCTTGTTCTGGTTTTAAAGTTTTCAAGATCTGTTGGAAGAAATAAAGGAAAAGTAATTAAACTTTAAAGTTGAGATATCATGGGAGAGTATCACCATTTCTAAGACGGTTATGCTGAAAATAGCCACCATAGCACTAGTACCATAGCACTAGTATCCTCACTTCTTTTCACTGATATTGCTCCTGCCTCTGTGAGTTTATAGCTAGATTGTCCAGTAAAACAGTAACCTGACACATGGGTCTACTTAGATTCAAAATAATTAACATTAAATAGAATTTATAATTGAGTCTATGAGGAGGCGTTCCATTTCAAGTGCTCCCAAACCACACGTACTTAGTGGCTACCACACTGGATGGCACATTGTTCTAGAAAAGTTCTACTGGGTCTAAGTGAAGGTCTAAGTGAAGGTCTAAGTGAAGGTCTAAGTGAAGAATATGAGGTTTAAATATGTTGTGATCTCTCCAAGAACTCTATATAATTACATATTATTATGATAATGCAAACGTGTTTTCTGATATTCAGCTCTGTTCATTTTAGAAATCGCTCAATTATATGCAATTATAATACCTACTAATATAACCATCTAATTGTATTATTATAACTATACTTGCATATAATTATTTATCCATATACTCACATAGTCAGACTATTACATGAAGGTTAACTTTAAAAATCCTGCATATTTTTCAATATTAAGATGGTGTAGCTTTTTAATTTTTTTTTGCACTGGGAATTGAACTCAGGACCTTGCACTTGCCAGGCAGGTGCCATGCCATTGAGCTATACCCCGGTCCTTGGTGCAACTTTTCATTCTTTCTGCAAAGTATTTCATTTCCTCATGGAGGCCAAGTATAGTGAGAGAGATAAAACACTCATAAAACTGAAGATCACAGTTTGAGACAATAAATAAAGAGTTATTATACAAAATACTTCTATTTTGACAAAGGTACCATTGTTTTTGTTCAAATAATGTTTTGTTCTCCTAGTTTCCCAAATGTAAATCCTCCCAATGACAGTGTTTGAGTATCCTTTTCTGTCTGCACTTACAACATTTTATTTAATGACCTCATTTCAGCTTTGAGGATGTTATGACTCAAAAATTAGGTACAGGGTTGTAAGCCCCGTGGTTGTGCCTTCTCGAGTATAGTAACATTTACTCAGTACTGCCTACTTTACTACCACTTTGGTAAAACTCCCGATTACCTCATCTTCTGCCCCTACTCTACAGGCTAGGACAGTTGTTATGAAATCTCTTAAGGTCTCAACATTAATGAGAGATGGAGCTGGAAGAAGAGCCTGGCCAGCCTCTGTGAAGTTACACATGGGAATGTTCCACACCCATGTCTGGCTTCAGGGAGTGCTACAGATACTTAAAAACAAAACACAGCTTATTCTGGTATTCGAATAATGTTTAAATCTTATAAAGTATTATTGTTATCACTTACATGTTTACAAAATGTTTACTTTGTTAAGTATCATCTGTGTTCCAGTTCCAGTTACTCCGTCCTACAATGTCTCAAGAGCTCAGTGAGCAGGACTGGCATGTGGAACCTAATTATAGCAGCCCATAGCCCACCACAGTCAGACTAAGCAGGACGTGTGAAGGATGCATATGTAGACTCAGCGCAAAAGCAAACAGTGCTATAATGTGAGTTACATGTATGATGTAATACACTTGTTTCATTTAATAGGCAGCAGGTCAATATACAACAATATCCGCCTGAGTTCCGGAATTACAGGTGCTTGCCCCCTTGCCTGGCTGCACAGATTCTTAAGGTAAATCCTCTATATTTTTTCATAAATATCCTATCCAATTTCCAGAGTTGTATGAAAAATTGAAAACTGATAGATAACAGAAATCTAGACTTGTCTAGGCAAATCAACCATGGCTCCCGACTAAAGGAATTATATTAAAAAAGTGGGAAATAAAATGGAAAATATATATAATAACATCTTTCCTGAGTTTAAAGAACTAGATCTTGCTTTTTTTTTCATTTTAGTTTGTGAATTTTGTCCAGTTCTACAAGATCTGGGCATTGAGAGTTTATAACATGGATCTAATTTTTGAGGAAATATTAGAAATATTTCTTAGTTTATTAAAAGAGAGTCAAGATCCTCTTTATACAGTGAATAGAAAGACTACATTTGGGTAGAGCTGAGTTTGAAAACCATCTTTGCCACTTACTAGTGCTGACCTTGGGCAAGTCTTAATTTTATCATAAATAAATTGAGAATAAATAAGCTCACGAGCAAAGATGAAATGAGATAATATTTGAAAAGTACAAGGTTTTTCATGATAAAAGGTCAGTGGCTCGATATGCGTATTTTGTCAATAAGGAAGGCTGTGGTCTAGAAGCAAATCATCCCCCAACCTTCCATTGGTATAGGCTTCTAAACAGCAAACACACACAACAGTGAGTGGTGGATGCTAGCTAAAGAGATGATATTTATGCTCACATTTAGGGAAAGGCGACATATCTAAAATTGTTCTTTTCAGATACAACTATCCAGATTCCAGTCAGTAGAAACATAGTAATTTTCTAAGTTGAAGAACTATGTGTATGAGGCTTATACATTCATGACAAAACTTTAATAGATAATAGAATGCAGGGAGATAGATTTTTCTCAGAGGAGAAGAGGATCAAGAGATGGAGGGAAGGGAAGATAGAAGAGGGAAGGGGTAGGAAGAAAAGAATTAAGATGCTTTATGTACACATACCAAGTCTGCAGAAGGTATGTGAACATTACATACTGCAAATACATACAAAAGAAGGAAGGTGATCAAAGGATGTATGGGAGGGAAGGAAGAGAACGGGGGTGAAAATGAATGAAGATGCATGAGGTACATGTACCAACTCTTTACAAGGAATGTAAACATTACATACTGCAAACACATATTAATCAGTAAAACAACAGCTATGAAAGGACAGCGATAATACATGTCATGATTTCATACAAATTCAGAGGAAATAAAAAATGATATGACAAATGATGTACATAATGTCTGCATTTTTATATGGATGTATTATTTAATACAAGCTAAAAATATACTTTTTTACTAACATGGATAAGTCTAGATTCTATTAATTCTCACAAGGTGCCTTCAGAACAAGAAACAGTCAGCACCAGTTCCTGGTGTCACTACTTCCTCTGATTTTGAAAGGAACAGTCAACAGGAAAACCAACATGCTGGTGATTTCTTTAGATGTGCAGAAACTTTTCAATACAATGAGATCCTA